GTGCCTGGGTGGCTCAGTTGGATAAGTAGCCAACTCTTGATCTGGACTCAGGTCATGATCTCAGGATCCTGGGATCGAGCCCCTTGTAGGGCTCCACACTGAGTGGGAATCTGCTTCCCTCCCTCTCCCTCTCCCCCGCCCCCACCCTGCTTACTATTGCACGAGTGCACACACTCACTCTCTCTCAAATAAATCAATCTTGGGGCACCTGGGTGGCTGAGTTAAGTGTCTGCCTTCAGCTCAGGTCGTGATTCCAGGGTCCTGGGATGGAGCCCCATGTCAGGCTCCCTGCTTAGCAGGGAGTGTGCCGCCCCCATCCCCATATCCCCACTCATGCATCCACACTCTCTCTCAAATAAATAAAATCTTTTAAAAAAAATAGAATAAATTTTTTAAAATTTAAAAATTAAAAAGAAAAGAAACAAATTTAAAATAAAATGAGATTCTAGTCTACACTAATTATAATGGCTAAAAATTGAAAGACCATCCCAGGGGCGCGTGGGTGGCTCAGTCATTAAACGATTCCGGGGTCCTGGGATCGAGCCCCGCATCGGGCTCCCTGCTCAGTAGGGAGTCTGCTTCTCCCTCTCCCGCTCCCCCTGCTTGTGTTCCCTCTCTCGCTGTGTCTCTCTCTATCAAATAAATAAATAAAATCTTAAAAATAAATAAATAAATAAAAATAAAAATAAAAAGACCATCCCAAGTGTTGGGAAAGATGTGGAAGAAAGAGAAGTCTCATACATTACCGGTGAAGGTTGAAAATAGTACAACTACTTTGGAAAACAGTTTTAAACAGTTAAACATTCACCTACCACATGATCCAGCCATTCCACTCCCAGGTACTTACCCGAGGGAAGTGAGAGCACACATCCGCTCACAGACTTGTACACAAACACTCATAGCGGCATTATTTATAACAGACAGAAACCAGAGAAATCCAGAAGTCCCTCATCGGGTGAAGGAGTAAACCAACTAGAGTGTATCCCACCATGGGATACGACTACTTCCACTACTCAGCAATGTAACTGAACTGTTGACACGCACCACAACGGGACTTGCAAACAATTATGCAGAGTAAGGAAGACAAAATATACATACTGTATGATTCTATTTACACGAAATTCTAGAAAACGCACATTCATGTCTAGCGGCAGAAGGGAAGTGTGTATGACCCACAGGCACAAGGAAACGTGTGAGTGATGGAAATGTGCACCATCTTGATTACGGTGATAATTCCTCACGTGCAAACACTTGTTCACACATATGAAACTGTTCCCTTTAAATATGTGCATTTTATCGTCTGCTGATTTTACCTCCATACGCCTGTGCAAGGGGGAAGGAAAGGAAAGAACATGAGCATAGCAGGGGTAGGAAGGGAGGACACTAAACTCAGCTAACATCAATGCCTCTTATATAATCCAATGACCTTCTATAATCACAAGTTACTCAGAGTAGTATTTCCCTCACTAGAATTTCTCCAACCTCAAAAGATACTTGAAGTAAGGGCTTCCATGCTTTTAAGTTCTGAAAATGTATATATTAAAGGACATTTTTCAAGTGATTCCAGGTTTCAGTGTTGATAAGATAAATGGAAGGTGCGGACCTTGATGCAAGCTATAGGCTAGGAGTTATGTTAATTATTCAGTACTGTCAGGCTCTTTGTTTTCCCGTCTACAAAGTCTGAAAAGGAGTTTAGAAAACTGTGCAATTAGGGGTCATAGAATTTTTCTACATCAAATCCAAGTTGTACTTTGAGCTTTTTATCTGAGTTCAGTTCCATTCAGAAAGAAGTATAAAGGGTTGGAGACAATGGCAAAAAATAAGTTTCCAGCTTCAGTATTAAATATTATTCAGTCACTGCTCTGAGCAAAGCTATGGATCCTGCAGAGGCTCAATTATTACTCAACAGCAAGATTAATCTCTACAGAGAAGCCGCCAGAAGAAGACAACATCTCACAAGCTCCTTGATTGATGGCTGACTGAACCAGACCACGAACTGATGTGGATACAAATTACAAAATGAAATGTTCTGGAGGGTTCCTCAGAGACGGGAATTAAAGGCCATTTGTCTTACAGGAGTGGCTAGGGAAACAGTCCAGACTGCATATGTTCACTTCTACTCTTTCCTTTCATAAACCCAGAATGGTGGGTCTATTATTAGAACTGAAGGTCATGTCACCAAAAAGATCCTTTTAAAAGTGATCAATCTCAAAAGAAAAATGTTTCTCTAAACCCTTATTAAATCTGTTTAACACTTTTAACCTTTGTAACCATAGGAAACACACTCTGCCTATGCATTCTTTGAAGGTTAACTTTTTGCTTCTAAACTTCATTTTTTTTAAGATTTTATTTATCTGACAGAGAGAGACACAGCGAGAGAGGGAACACAAGCAGGGGGAGTGGGAGAGGGAAAAGCAGGCTTCCCGCAGAGCAGGGAGCCCGATGCGGAACTCGATCCCAGGACCCTGGGATCATGACCTGAGCCGAAGGCAGACGCTAAACTGAGCCACCCAGGTGCCCCTAAACTTCATTTTTTTAATTCAGAAAGTACTTATTACTTCTTGGGGTGGGTCGGGGGAGGGGGAGTTCATGTTCAGCCTCTCTGGGTATTTTGTGACTTTATACAGCTTAACTGTACAGTTCCTCAGCCTTCATCTGATCATACTCAAAAACTGTAGCAATGTTAAAAAGTAGATTATTTTTTTTAATGAAGCTGAAAGTTCCTCATCCCTGGACCACTTGTTCTATAACAGAAAGAACAGTGAGATTTTTGTCCCCGAAGTCCCATCTCTGCCACATAATGGCTATGTGACTCCCATCAAACCTCGGCCTCCTCTTTGGAGAAGGCGATAATGCCCCCGAACATCCTGAGACTGTTACAAAGAGAAAATGCGTGAAAACTATAGAACATTCAACAGATGTTTGTGCTTACGGCTGCATATCTCAGCTCCCTTCAACCTCCCTGAGATATTAACACTGAATTTTACCCAGCTTCTCCTAAGAAACAATGAGGACACTGTTCAGATACTATTCCAAGCCTTCTGTGTTGTTTCCAATACCCTGCAATCCTGGGTATCACTTACTCTGCCTTCTTTTCATAAAATCAGACTTCTACCCTGTGTAGGCTGGGGTTATACACCTAAATGCTGCTTAAAGGGACGATTAAACAATGAACATGAGAACTAGGTTGGCGTCCCTGAGCTCTATGGAGGTGAAATACAGTTAGAGCCAGTAGGAGCCTCGAGGGGCAGGGATCAGAGCACTGGAAAAGCTGACTGTGGAATCCAGTTAGGACAGAAACTCTAGTCCAATCCCCTGCTCTGCATAAGATCTGAAGAGTAACACGGCCAGAGGATTTAGTGATTATAAAGACTAAATTCGGGGCGCCTGGGTGGCTCAGTCATTGGGCGTCTGCCTTCGGCTCAGGTCATGATCCCGGGGTCCTGGGATCAAGCCCCACATCGGGCTCCCGGCTCAGTGGGAAGCCTGCTTCTCCCTCTCCCACTCCCCCTGCTTGTGTTCCCTCTCTCGCTGTGTCTCTCTCTGTCAAATAAATAAAATCTTAAAAAAAAAAAAAAAAAGACTAAATTCATGGTTTGGGGTAAGAAGGGAGACTCTTGTGCAACATGAAGAAAGTTCCAGATCTGTGATCTTACAAACAGCACGGCATTATGGAAAACTTCGGTCCAGGATACAGGTATGGCCCTGAATACATGACTGCATACTGTCGCAAGGTACTACCGGTGCTGTTCACAAATTCGGTGTATCTGGTCACAAAAACAATGATTCGAGTCATAAAAAGTACCAGGACAGAAGTAGAAAGAAACTACAGGAGTCTAGAATTAACAGTGATTAATTAGTGACTCAACAAAGCAATGGACACTTCCACCTACTAGTGTTACCTATTAGGAGCACAGAAAAACAAATAAATAAAAATGTAGGGACTGAGTGGGGCAATTAATTGACTAACCTCAAAGGTCGTCTCCAATGACAAGACCATATATTTCTAGTCAGTGTGACAGTCAGTCCCTGTCTTACAACCCAGTATTTTTTAAGTTAGTAACTACAACAAAACCCCCAAAGCTACATACATATTTTGTGATCCTGTCCCAAAAAGAAGAGGGGGAGGTTCTCACTGGCTCATAAGGACCCCACCAGCACAATCCTAACCTTTTCAGAGTGAGAATGGTATTTTATAAAGAGTATTAAAAGCGCTTCGGGGTTCATCCAGCTGAAGTCCTCCTCACCTAAGTATCACGAGTGTGTGAGGACTGTCCTGACACCGTCAAGTGTCTCATTCAGGCCCAGCTCCGGCTCTACCCGCTGCCCTAACTCCCTTCCCTGCTTCAGGCAGTGGGATGACTGGAAGTGAGGATGTGGGTTTGACAGCTGGAGGCAGAAGTGATGAGCTACATCAGGACACAGAATAACCAGAGGCCAAAAGGAGACACATGATCCCGAGACCATGCAGTCTCTACTCAAAAGTCCGGACAACAAGATTAGCTAAGAGAATGTCTACCGTACTTGTGAAGTTCCTCATGGGCTGTACTGAGGGCGAGTAAATGCTTACCTTAAATGCAGATACAGCTGATGATACAAATAAATAAAAGTTTTTAAAAGGGGGTGGGGCAACACTGAGGGAGTTCAAAGCCGAGAGAGAGAGCTCAACCTATGGCAAAGGGTTAACATTCAGAAGTCAGCTGATCTGTCGGGGTCTTAAAGAACAGAAACTGCAAGTAAAGAAAGGAAATGCGGGATTCACAAGTGACAGCCATAAATATATATTTGAAAAGTATGAGATTCACCCCTTAACTAAGGAACAATGAGTGCCAGAAATGAATGTGTAGATTTTCACAGCCTATATACTAAAATATTGAGAAATCAGCTTATTGCTGATGTATGACAATTAGCTGACGATTAGAATCTAAGCCTGCCATCCTCTTATTTATTCCAATGAGATATTTATTTGTCAGCTAAAACCCCAAATTGTTTATTCCTACCTCTCTGAAGAGTGCACCATAAAACTGAACAATGTACGGGCAATCACTACTCCGCATTACTACATCCAAATCCATAAGAAGTTGTTTTTGTTCTTTTTCATCCACTGTTGACCGAATTCTCTGGAAAAGAATGACAAAAGATGTCACAAAAACATAAAACAACTTTAGAAACCTAAGAAAAACCACTACCACAACAAGACTAAAAATTTCTAAGCAAACGTCATAAATACTAACCAGACATAAAAATTATCATCTTCCTTAGACTTTACAAGAACAATTTTTATCACAGAAAAACAAAATAGCACTTAGGATTTTTTTTTTTTTTAAACAAAATAGCACTTAGGAATTCTTTAAAGGACACAGGGCTTTTTAACCACAAGCATCCATGGATGACGTTGAAAGTTATGTAACAAAGTTCCTAAGCAGTGAAAATTAACCCTCACATGCAAATATAAAGAAAAGCGTCAGGAGCTATACTTTAAACGGTTTTCATGTGCATAGTCAGCTTCACAGATACCTTTATTGTATGGAATCTAGGTATTCAATGCAAGAACAGCCCTCCTTGCTCCCTGGCAACCTTACCCCCTAGCATCCTCATTCGTTAGAGATGGAAAATAATCCAGAACAGGTCACAATGGGAATCAGTGTAGGTGCAGCACACAGACAGCATTCCCAGCCTCCCAAATCCTACGCTGCAATTCTCCCCCTTCACCACATTTTCTATATGCTAAGAACAAAAAGTTCTACCTGACTCTCCACCCCATGGGTCAGAATGGAGGGCAGTAGGAACATGTGGAAGAAAACCTACAGATGAGGGAGGGCTCTTTGCCTGTTCCTACACTGATGAGGCCCTCTTCTTTGTACAAGGCAGACCTGCGGTATATCCCTAACCCACCTGTACAATTTCTCTGCACACTTCTAAAAGACTGCTGCGAAAAACCAGTACCCCCACCGCCCACTGCCCACCCGGGAACAGCAGGGTACACGGAGACGTTCAGAGGGACAGTTCCCGCTGCACGAGAGAGAGATAGGAAAGAATCAAGTTCAGAAAACGTAAAACATGAATAATGAAGTTATAGTTTCACATCGAGGCATGCAAACAACTTTTTTTCATAAAAAAAGTTCACAATGTCACACCGCGCCACTGTGTACAACACATAGTACATACTTACAAGGCAAGTTAGTATATCAAAAACTACACAAGGTGGCATTTTGTCTTCCAAAGACTTCAAGGTATCTGTCCTCAATGTTCTTGAAAGGGATGAAGGCAGACAATTAAATTCTTGAGCCCATTTTACAGAAGAGAAACCAGAGGCACAGAGAGATACAAAAGATGTATTCCACGTAACATGACGATAAGCAGTTGCAGAAGGAATAGAAGCAGGTTCTTCCATTTTCCTCTCTCCCCACTAAATGAGGAATTCCATATATTCCAAATACAAACACATTTAATTTTGCTATTTAAAATTTATAGCCTGCTAGCTACAGCACTTCGTATCAAATAAAATTTACTAACTAGCATCCGTCTTTGTATACACTGATTTATTTAAGACTTTTACACTGAATATCACTACCTAGATAAACAAGAAATGATAAATACATAAGAACAAAAAATAACGACAAAATAAGACTGATACTTCTAAAATTAAGAAAAATTGCCTTTCTCTCATTTCTATATTTTCATAGTTTGGAGATTAATGGGCTTTCTTTTAAATCAACATCAGGATAATGTTTGCTCAAAAAGTATATTTTTAAAAAGTCAAAATAGCCCAGAGATGTAATTTGTTATTAGTTCAAAACCATGACATCGATAATTTTGGTAAACATTTTAATTACATTTATTCCTGTTTTTAAAACAATAACACTAAAAGGACAGCTGTGAAAATACTAGTTTGGGAAGGCAATTTTTTAATAAAAACTTAACAACCTCATATATCTACATTTAAAAGACAGAGAGCTGGTAACTAGAGACAAATGGAGAAGAAAAAGAAAATGATACTCTGGGGAAGATTTCCACCAACCAAACAATTCTCACTAGTAAAAGGTTTAAAAATATTTTTTTTCTATTTTCACTTGTACAGCTATATGGGCAAGTATAAATACACTAACTCACACTCACAGGACACTATTATAAAAGATGTCCTCTTTCCTAATTTGTTTCCCCAAACTGGTTATACGGTTTTCTAAATTTCCATTTGTACAAATGCTTGTATTTCAACTATTGGAAAGCATATTACAGCCAAAACCTTGATCGTTATCATCAATAACTGACTCTTGAGGACAATTTCTACCCATACTGCAGTAGCTACAGAAAGGATGCATGCTACTGCATGGCCTGGAGGCCTGACTGAAGTCTCAGCATGGGATCGGTATCTAATTCTCAACCTGGACCAGATTAGCATGAACCGGAATGGAGAGAGTTCCTGGCACAGCTCAAACCTTTGAGCTCATCAGCACAGCAGTAAAATCTATTCATCTGTAAACTGTTCTTTAATGCCACCGGTAGTACAAAACAGAACACGGGGCTGCTGGATGGCCTACTGGTCTACCAGGAAATGGACTCCGCTCTTGGACACTGGTCAACGGATCATCATCTCTTCGTGCTCTCTGAACATCTGGTCCAAGGACAGGGAGCGGGTAGAGGAGTAGCTGCTGGTATGGCATCAGAATTGTTTGCGGCTGAGCAAGTGACCTAACTCTTCATTATACAGAAGTTTTAGGATTACACTGCAACATGTATTATATGTGAGCACGTAAGGCCTAAGGACTCAGAAAGGGGATTAACCACAAGCACACGCCTACAACAGTGATCGCTTCAAATTAGTTATTTTAACTCAATTAATTCAAAATAAAGTTCAAGTTGGAGAATACTTAACAATCATCAATGACTCAAATGAAAGAATTCTTAATAGTAAGAGTTGTGACCAGGAACGCTTCTCGAATGGAACAAAACAATGTGTATGGATAAGATTTTTATCACTGGAAATAAGTACAGCCAGGACTTTCTAATATTAAGGGAGAATAATCACCCAAATTGGAACACATGAACAAGAACAAACTTCCCTTCCCTTTATGAAACTGTCCTTGGGAGCTCCCCTCTCCTTGCTAGATGAGATCCTGCCTGATTCATGAATCGTTTCATAAAAGCCAATTAGATCTTCAAATTAAGGAGGGAGAAAAAAGCCTTCCTTAATAGAGGGAGGAGAATGGAAAATGGAAGCCCAAAGGTGACACCAATTATACATAAAAATCTCTCGTAATTAGAATGTTCAGAAAGCAAATGTATTGATAAATGTCTTGAATCAAAGAAAACTTTTATTTATATCATAAATTTAAAAGTTAAATAAGACTGATGTTTATTTGAGTTCGGAAAACCTTTTTATTTTTTCCTCGTAAAGAATGGGGTTGAAAAGCTCATACAAGACCACAAAATATTTAAGAAAATCATCTCAAGAACCTTAAGGGGTTTTTTTTTGTTTTTAAAGATTTTATTTATTTGACAGAGAGAGACACAGCGAGAGAGGGAACACAAGCAGGGGGAGTGGGAGAGGGAGAAGCAGGCTTCCCACTGAGCAGGGAGCTCGATGCGGGGCTCGATCCCAGGACCCCGGGATCACGACCTGAGCCGAAGGCAGACGCTTAATGACTGAGCCACCCAGGCGCCCCGAACCTTAAGTTTTTTTAAAAAGTTTCATTTTCAACCAAATATCAGAACTCATTAAAATCACTAATTTTTTCAGTATGGGACTATTGAGCTCTTTTACTTGTCACTATTTCATTAACCTAGCTCCAGTTATCACATGCTCTCGGGACAAATTATACTTTTTGAAAATCAATCCACATAGCTTTTCCAATAATAAAGTATTTTCAAATTATCACAAGATTTACTTTATTTGGAACAAAACATAGAGAAAACCCTTCAAACCAAAACAAGAATTACTACCCTACATTAGAAGCTATTTTCCACAGTGAAGAAATTGATATACTTGAAGGTAAAAACATTTTTGTCGTCCAAATTTGTATTGAAGGTTGTTTCATACTCCAAACAAAAGCAGGTAAATGCCAATAAAAACAGCATGTAGCTACAGATCAGCAACATCAAAATAACTCCAATGAAGTCTTCCAGAGACACGTCAGAAAAAGGACAAACTGAATACCCAGTTCTCTGTTTTTATGACTACTGGAGTTATATACGTGGTTCTTATCCAACTAAAAATTAAAAATTAGCCCAAGGGCGCCTAGGTGGCTCCGTCGATTAAACGCCCGACTCTTGGTTTTGGCTCAGGTCATGATCTCAGGGGCATGAGATCGAGCCCCGTGTCAGGCTCCACACAGGGTGTGGAACCTGCCTAAGACTCTCTTCTCCCTCCCCCTCTGCCACCCCTCCTCCCACTTGTTCTCCATCTTTCCCTCTCAAAAAAATTTAAAAATGTTGAAAATTTAAAAAATTTAAAAGTCCACAGAGCTTCACTTTTCTAAGACAGCCCGTCCAATTCATGCCATTGGCTGCAGCAGCCACAACTCAGGTACTAGGGATTCCATACAGATTAAGCTGCAGTGGTAGAAAGCTGACAGGTTCCATGGGACAAGCTAAACAATTTAAGTTAGAAATTGTCCTCTTGCCCTGCCCTACCTCGTGCACAAGACACAACAATGTCCACTCTGAGAACAGTCCAAATCATGCAGGCAGAAATACCAAGACCTGGCTGAAAGGCTGCCTTCCTTCTCTCTGTGCAACGTGGCATCTGGAAGTCATTGGTAAATTTAAATGTTGGCAGCTTACAGTTGGCCTTCATTTGGAATGCCTCGATGTTTAACAATTTAAATTTAAAGCATAAATACTCCTTTACTGATAATGAACAACTATTGAAATGTGGCGTAGTTCCACATGGCCTCTAAATATACTAGGACGTGCACGCTGAGATGATTCTTGCACATTATCTCTAAACCCAGCCAACCCAATCTCCCCCACACAATTTGTTGGTACCCATCAGGGATGAATAGGTGGGGATAAAACTAACATAAGTAGGAAGAACTTTCCAGTAGATTAAGACCCATTGTTTTAATGGAAAAGGATTGTGGGAATTATTAAAACTACATTCACTGAAGGACTGGGGGGG